ATCCCCTGGCAAGGTCACGGTTCTTCTTGGCCTTCATGGCCCCTTGGAATGTTCGGTTCTTGGGCTTGTCCCGAATCATGGTCATCAAGACCTCCTTCGCCTCTGACTCAGTGATCTCAGTGACCGTCTCATCGTCATCCTCGCCGGACATCTCCGCCAAGGCGTTCAGCAGGACTTCCGCACCCTCCTCCAAGGTGTCCTCATCGTCAGGATTATAGTCCTGATGAGGTAGAAGTTGTGGCGGATCGTTGTCCAAGGCATGCACCTCAGACGTGCTCTTTTTCTTCTCATTGCCCAAGGTGGACATGTCCAAATCGGTCTCATGGACCCGCAACCATGCCTTGACCTCGGAGACCTTCAATGACCCTCGGGTGTAGTTGAGGAGAAGCTTGATCTGTTCACTAGTCAACTGTATGGCACTCACCAGTAAGAACCCGAGGTAATCGTCCGGCAGGATCACACCTTTTTCACGAACTTTTCGTGCCGAGTCGTCCCAACGAAGCATGAAGCTCTGGGCACGTTCCCCCTTGCTGCGGCGCAGGTGAAAGGTCAGTCGACTGCAGGCGGCTAGCATGGACTCTCTCTCTTCTTCACCATAGTACTCCTTCGTGTCCATGAGAGCCAGGAGGAAGTTTCCATTCGTTGGGTCATCCAGCCACCGGTCATCGGTGGCTAAGAACTTCATGTGTTCCCACGGAGTGCCTGACAATCCTTTCAACAAAAGTGGCCCCCTTGCAACTGCCGGGGTCCTGGTGGTTCTCAACCAAAGTTTTGCCTTGATCTTGTAGTCCTTGAACTCCATCCCATTCAGGAGGAGGTCCCGCCGTCGTCCTCTCCGCTTCATCCCGGGCTGCATAACCCCATTGAGCCATAGGTGCAGCGAGAGGATCGTTGTGGTGCATGCCACCCATGCCATGAAGGTGAACTAACTCTGGTCGGCTCGCTCCTGGCGTAGGTGGCCTCGGAGGTGCATTGGCTTGCCGCCACTGCAAAAACTGGATGTACTCGGCATTCGCCGGATCTGGATCCATAGTCCCCATCCGATTCCATGGGTCCTGTCGAACCCATGGGTCATAGCTCTCGGAGCTATGGGAACCAGGTGGTTCTGTCCTCATCCCGGCCGCAGCGGCCGGGGCAGCGGCAGCATGTGGATGCCGTTCATCTTCTTCAGGAGGTAGTCCAGGTGCTAAGCCTGGAGGCGGCATCATGGTCGACGGCGCGGCGGTCATCGTCCCTGGATCGAACCTCGGCTCCGCTACCACTGCACAAGGCAGTGGCAGCGTGAACCGGAGCTCAAAGGACCCTTTTGGACATGATGCGCTCGTGCGCTTGAGCCAAATCGTGGCCGGTGGTCTTTTGACCAATGCGCATGCTACCCTGAACATGCAATTATATATATATACACATGTGAATATCTACATTTACATATACACAGGTCATCACAGGTCACCCTACGCACATTGACATTCTTTTGGAAGAAGGCTCGAGGGCCTTCTTGCTGCAACTTTGAACTTGCTAGCAGCATTTTGTAGCTTTTAGGCCATTACAGTGGCTTGCACTTTGGTCCGAGGTGCTGCTGCTTTGGACCAGTGGGGCCCGTTTTTTGGTTTGTCGTTGCCTGCATGCACTACTGCAAGCCCAAGGACCATGACCTTGCATGGCCAGCATTGCACTTTGTTGCTTTTGCACGTTCTCGCTTGACACACGCATTTTGTAATCATTTGATCATTTGGTTTCAGCAAGAAGGATTGAGGACTTAAATCAAATTGCGGTTGAAAAGACAGAATACTCGTATGTGTTGGTGGACTGATACTAGAGTTTGTAGAGGAAACCCAAATGAGCAGCGTTCTAAATTCATCCTTTCTTCTTTGGTCAGGGACCGGCGAAAAATCAGTGAACACAGTGGTTTTAGCTGATGTTTGTAAGTTGTCCGTAAGGCTTGCTGTAATCATGTTCAGATTTGAATGGTGCCTTAAGGCTACCAGAAGCGAAACTTGTTTCCTTTGATTCTGTTGCCTTTCCTGTTTTGCAACAACATACCACATGTGACCACAGTGGACTTGCATACCTCCGCCGTAAGCACAACGTAAGAATAGCCATGCATACATGTGTCACCGTAAGCAACACATTTAAAAAAAACGTACATAAGCCTTGCGTAAGGCCTACAGCAAGGTTTGATTTCTCGGCAAGAAAAGACACCACAATTTTGAACACCGCTCAAATGACTCTAATCCTTTGAGAGTCTTTAGACATCCACCGCTGTTGATCGCAGGAAGTGCGCCAGAACTTGCCACAAGATGCTTGTTGGGCAAGTGGCGAGAACACACAGACAACTGTTGTGTGGTCAAGTTTTTCTTGCAATCCTTTGTCATTTATTTCTTAGAATCAGGACACCTGTGTTTGGAAACAAGGAATTTTGATACTGAAGAACTTGGTTTGATTGCTATAGACCCAGGACTTAGGGACTTGGGTTGAGCGGTTCTATAGACTGAGATTTGTTGATGAGCACAAGTTCAATGAATATGCGGGTCGCAATTCCACTTTTTGTGAGCCGAGTTAGAGGTTTTAGTTTGTTTCACCTGCTTGTTCATTCCGCCACCTATGAACCGGTGTGGAGAGTGCGGTTGCCACCCAGTCCCAGTCAGCTTGTCTACAAGGCCATTCACTTTCGGTGAACATGTGCCTGGGTCCTGGGTGCTGTACTAAGTCTTGTTTCTACTAGTTTCTTGTTACTACTAGTAAGGCACTTGTTACTAGAAGCGATGCACTT